ACTTTTAAAACGGTACCGGTGCCTGAACCGATACTTAAAAAAAAATGACCCAAATAGGATGGATTGGCCATTTATTGAGCGCTATAAACACATTTAATGTCTGTTTCATTCATACTGGATGCCAGAGGGCGCCCTCGCGCAGAATCTCCACATGTGCGTCACAGAAAGAAACTCAGGAAATCCCTAATATGGACAAAGACAAAACAGAAGTAAACAGACGATAGAAACGTTTTGAATGATAAAACAAAGACAATAAACACTCCACTGCAACAATATATAGGTTATCTGTGTTATTCAAGCCATCTTTGGTATTTCCATCGTAATTAAGTATATCTATAATCCATTGCTAATCAACATAGTTGTTAACCATATGCTTTTTACAGTATAGAACATATTTTCTGCCTCATTCTGTGACAAGAAGCCACATCAGATCACAAAAGGAAGCATTTGTGGAGTAAAAACGTTATAGTGTTCTCTTTTGTTGGACAACAGGTTTAGAAACGCTTCTCATTGCATGTAAATTCAAGGGAAGTTTAGCTTTAGGCATTTTAATTTAAGAATGCTTAGCTTAGCTAGCTGACGGTGTCTACCTGCTGCCATCAGAGCAAGTGTAATAATTACTGCATTCACGCGCTCCTCGGATGCTCTCATTTCCCGAGTTGTGCTTTTAAGTCGGAATGGACACTCGCGTTACTACAAAGATGTGTTGGATTTGTATTATTAGAGTTTTCCGACTTGCATTCGGGAATTTTCTCAGTCGGGAAATCATTTTTCACGTGCGGTGCCTTACGTCCGGAGAACCAGAGAACAAATATTTAAATAGATTGCTCAAGCATTTACGTGGCACTGAAATGAGGCACCGAAATCTGCGTTCTGATTCGGTTCTAGTACATACCGGTTATTAGGGCCTTTCGCACCGCGGGAACCTTTTCATAGTACCAGAACTAATTGTAGAAATACCCACTTTTCGGCGTGTTCGCATTGCCGGAACTGGGTGCGATTTTAGCACCGAACTGCCTTTTTCGAGAACCAAATTAGCTCCTACTCCGGAGCAGGGTCTAACCAGCACAACTGGTACTAATCGTGACGTAAGTAGACATTGATTGGCCAAACGCGTACGAAAACGC